GGTCTGGTCATTAGAATGAAGCTGCTTTCAGATAAATCAAATGAAGACAGAAATTTTTAAATAGCTGTGCAAAACAGTTTCAGGGATTTGCTTTTCTGACATTATGTCCAAGCCTATTTTTTTTTTTCCGCAATTAATATGGAAGATTCTCAAAGCTGCAGTACCAGACCTGAAATAAGACAGTTGCACTTTTACAGATACGTAGCTGAGAATTTAGATGGACTAGCTTGAAAGTACATAGGACTTAAAGAGTCAGTAGAGGGAGCTGGAAGGAAAAGAAACCTCTTGTTCCCAGCCGGAAGTCCTGTTGATAACTTGGTAATGTCAACTATGTGAATGTGTCGATTTGATCTTCTTCCTTGAGCTTCAGTCTCTTTTAGGAAATACAGTCGAGGAGAAGGACGAATTTATTCCTTATACTTCGAAATCATAGGATTTTTTCTGTAAGAGAAATATTTAAAAAAGTATAACATGAACAAATGCCCTCCTACCCCCAAGGAAGAAAAAAAAAACACAACAAAAAAGCAGGCAGAAGAAAAGAGATTCTTTTGAGACTTGTAATAAAAGGCATCAGTAATGAAAAGGAGTCTGTTACTAATACAGAGTAATGGACTTCACAACTGTATGCATCATTGTCAGAATACAGAAAAATAATGTGTAAAAGGAGACAGTTAAAATAAATAAGCTGTAGCATCCCAAGTTTTCAAAGAGAGTTCAAAGTAAATTTCACTGCATTAGATGAAACAACTAAGGAAAAGCTGTCTTAGGACAGCAGAAGGTGGGCAACAATTTGAAAAGAAGTCTTATTCCTTTTATTCTTTTTATATTAGAAATTTTAAGCAATTTTTTTTTCAGTTTTATCATAGAATTGTAGAATCATAGAATCATTAAGGTTGGAAAAGACCTCTAAGATCATCAAGTCCAACCGTCAACCCAAGACCACCATGACTGCTAAACTATATCCCAAAGTGCCACATCTACACATTTTTTGAACACCTCCAGGGATGGTGACTCCACCACCTCCCTGGGCAGCCTGTTCCAATGCCTGACCACTCTTTCAGTAAAGAAATTTTTCCTAATATCCAATCTAAATCTTCCCTGACGCAACTTGAGGCCATTGCCTCTTGTCCTATTGCTAGTTACTTGTGAGAAGAGACCAACACCCATCTCACTACAACCTCCTTTCAGGCAGCTGTAGAGAGCAATAAGGTCCCCTCTCAGCCTCCTCTTCTCCAGACTAAACACCCCCAGCTCCTTCAACCGCTTGTCATAAGACTTGTTCTCTAGACCCCTCACCAGCCTCGTTGGCCTTCTCTGGACACACTCCAGCAACTCGATGTCCTTCGTGTAGTGAGGGGCCCAAAACTGAACACAGTACTTGAGGTGCGGCCTCACCAGTGCCGAATACAGGGGCACAATCACCTTCGTACTCCTGCTGGCCACACTATTCTTGACACAAGCCAGGATGCAGTTGGCCTTCTTGGCCACCTGGGCACACTGCTGGCTCACGTTCAGCCGGCTGCCGACCAACACCCCAAGGTCCTTTTCTGCCAGGCAGCTTTCCAGCCATTCCCCCCCAAGCCTGTAGCGTTGCATGGGGTAGTTGTGACTGAAGTGCAGGACTCGGGACTTGGCCTTGTTGAACCAATGTATAATTCTTATTTCTAGAAGTAGCTACACTAATCCTTTTTGTCTATAATTTTAAAATTAAAGACTGCACTTTGATATAATGTAGTTTCAGGCATGCGATATCTGAATCGTTGTTAACATGCTTTTACTCTTCTTTTGCTTTTTTATTTTGTAGGTTACATTTTGAAGCTGTATCTCAGACTTCTCCTATTATCTTGTACCTCTTTCTGAGGAATATATTTGCCATCTGTGACATTAATGTCATGGAAGGAGCACTCTTCTGTGATTCCATCTGCTCCAATGAGATGCTTTATAAGGAACAAGTATGTGTGGCTTAAAATAATATAGTGGATTTGATTTTACTTTTTGATCAACTTTATTTCATCATTGCAAGATAAATGCTGCAATGTGCTAATCCTATTTACAGAATACTTCATTTTCTGTGAGTTACCTGGTCTTCCTTCCTGAAGTATTTCAGTAGCTGTTGATTATTTTGTATCCTGGTGGAAAGATGGTTTCAGAATCACTTATTGCCTAATCCAAAGCCTACTGATTCCAGCTGTGGAAGGACTTTCCTTCACTTCATTGGTGGTAGACTGTAATTTAAGAAAGAAGTATAATCAGTATTATTTTTGTCCTACTAAGATGCACCTTGGTATTTTAATTTTAAACATTTCTGCTGTTTAGAACATGTATTTTCATTAATATTGAACTTCCAACAGGGTTTCATGGTTTTCAAAACTAAGCTTCTTTTATTTCAGACTTTCTTATAGTGTAATGGCATGTTAACGACACAAAAAACTTTCTTTTTTATTTGGATAATCAAGCTTTGCCTCCTGTGTTATCACATTCCTGTTCCACTCTTTCTTTGCTGAAGTACTTGTCTCATAAAAATGTGAGCAGTCAATTACTCAGTGACTTTACTGGAGCTGCTCACACATGTAAGGACTGCAGCAGATAACTGGAAGGGAAAGGAAGGAATTGTCATCCTCCCCTTACCTACTCTGAGAGATTAGCATGTGCAATTTCGTTTCCACACATGTTGAGGTTGTTTACCACACTTTGTAAATTATATGGGTAAATTCAGAAGGCACAATTAGGTCAAGAACAATCACTCCCTTTAGAATCATGAATAATGTTGCATTCGTTTATATACTTCTAACAGGTGTCAATGTAAATTCGTTTTTAAACTTTTATCTTACTTGCTGCTTACACTGCTTCTTAAACTGCAATAACATCTGTCTACTTTCACTCTCAGATGATTTAAAACAACAGGATTAGTATTTGAATCAAAATGTGGTTTTCTTTTGCAGGTCGCTAGATTAGCAGAATGTGAAAGAATGACTGTGGCAATTGAACTTAGCAATTGGTTGAATGATGCAAGTTACACCCTGCAGTCTGTTGTACAATGTTATGGTCTCCTTGCTCCAATTATTTATCACAAGATTTCTTCAGTGCCAGTAGTTCAGGTGAGAGCATTTTAAGACAAAGTAGCTGGCATCCAAGTCCTGCAGTTACAGTGATTCAAATTAAACTTATAATGGAGCGTACAGTGGGAGAGCTAAATATCTAGTCTTTGAGTTCTTATTAGCTACTGAAAGAAAAGCCTTTTATGGTTTTATGTGTTCCCAGTGCACATATGTTCCACATAAGCTGCACAGATTCTCCTCTCAGATATGCTAAAGTAACTGCAGAATATAGATTGTTTCTTCAGGATGATTTGGTGGTATATCTAAACTATAGTAGAATCTACGATGTAGCTTCTACTTCAATGCTGTTTGCTGATAGCAATTTTGAGGAAAGAAAAGCAGTCTTTGCCTATGGCTTTTTTTTGAATGTTTGCTTTGTATAGTTTTCTTTTGTTCTTGAAAAAAGAAGGCTATTCAGTGTTTTGATAATGCAGTCTTTAGTTTTCAGGCATGTGCCCGTTTCCAGAAGCAAGCACCTTCTCTTTGAAAACAGAGTACCCGAATCCTTTCCTGCCGTTTCTGAAGCAGCAGACGTTTTTTTTACAGTTAGCAAGGATACAGTGGATACATGCAACTTTTTTTCCCATAATTAGGTAGTTTTGTCAGGGAGCAGCAGTAAGAGCATGTCCGCTCTATGAGGAAGGATGATGTGACTGCAGCGCAGGCAGGGCACAGACTAGCAGCATCTGAACATGGCAGACAGAGCAGGGCATTGGTTAGAGGGTCCACTGAGAGACTGAAGAAGCTGAAGTTTATTGGGCTGGCCCAGGGTCCATCCAGGAGAAAAAGTCAGGAGCTGCAGGAGTGGGAGCTGGAGACTGGAGACAAGGCTGCAAAACAGGTCCAAGGTCCATCCAGGAGACAGAACTGGAGACCAGCACACCAGTACCATGGCTCAAGCAGGAGCAGAAGGCTTGAGTCTGATCTTAGCTGGTGCTTCTGGGCCCCTGGGCAGAAGGTGTGAAGGGAAGCCCCAGGTGAGGCTGCTCAGGGAATGACTGTTGGGGCACTCAGGGCCCTGAGAAGTCTTTTGGAGTGTTAAGAAAAAAAAATTCTATTTGCATACAGGGATAGCCTCTTGCTTAAGAAGTTGTTGGCCATGATGACCTACTAACCCAGCTAGCCACTGGAAATGATTCCTGTTTCAGATTTCCTAATTATAGGGAAATGTAATTTAGTTGTAGGATCTTTTCATGTCTGATTGTTAGACAAAAATGGGGAAAAAAGTCTTTTATTTTCAGAGCATACCGGAAACATTTTTCTTTCGTTTAGAATTTGGACCAGCTCGATATGTTTTTCAGCAGTCCTCTGCTAGGAGTATGGCATTCTTTGATTTCATGTTAATTAAATCAGCAAAAATATCCATCGTGTATCTGTAATTTAGTATCTGTGACTTTATGTGAACATGTCATTTATTGCAAAGGGATGTGGTTGAAATCTTGACACTGTTAAATTAAATGGAAATTTTATTATTGGCTTTTGTAGAGCTAGCATTTCATCCTATTCATTAGATTTCAAAGTATTTTTAAAGTTTGCCATCAAATACAATAGGCTGTACAGAAGTAGCAGCTTGTAAGTGTGTTGCAGACTCCAAACATTGTTTTAACCCTTGTATTTACAGATCCTCATTAAGTGCTTGGCTGTCCTTCAAGAAATTCCAAGTGCTACTTTGCAGAGGAGGCAGGCAGGATGCTATGAGAGTATTCAGCATATGATAGCTTGTACTTCATTTTATACGGCAAAGGTATGGTGTGTGTTACTGTGCTTACAGCTTAATTTAAGATACAGGTCTTGTCATTTAGAGAAGAAAAAAGATTTAGTAAGTGAATCTTCAGAGTGATATCTTAGAGAACCAGCACTCTTAAATAGTAAAGGTATAAAAATATTTATTAGTACCTTTGTATCAGTGCGTTCTATATAATAATGACATTTTGACTTTTTAATAGAATTGAGAATTTTCATTTGTTCAGAAAATAGACCGTAACTATTATTCCATGACATGAAATATGTATTTTACATGATTGTATGCATTTTTACATTTAAGGGAGTATTATTTTCAATAAGCCCTATAAGTAATATATAAATTTAAAAGTTTATTTACTGCAAAGAGGCCATATTTGTAGTTTTAATCAGATTAGCATATCTGGCTTATTTGCTAATTAGATACAAGAGACTTTGTACTATTTAGTCCCACATGCTGGCAAGAACATAAGTACCTTGACTTTTAACCATAATGCATATCTGTAGATCACATTTATGATTCAGACGCTCAGTCTAATTACTGAGATAAGAAACGTGGTACTGGTAGGATTTTTTTCCTCAGGTATAGAGACATGCTCGAGTTAAAGTCCCCAGCATGATGTATGATGCTGAAAAAGGCAGCTTTCCTCAAGCTTTGAGTACACGTCAGCTAAGAGCTCATACTGAAGCTGAACTGTGGCTGATGGTTGGAGGGATTCCCCTGTGTTGGTGATCCCTCGCCTGAGTCTTTGTAGGAGCTCAATCTCTATGCTCAACTCACAAGATGAGATCAGTGTCAAACATCCTCAGAAGTGCACTGCAAGAAGACCCAATTTTCCTTCTTTCTGTAAAGATGAGTATTTTAAGCCTTAGTGTTGTAATTTTCTTCATATTAATCAGTTGCTTCATGGCTATGAGGGCAGTGTCAGGGAATGGCAAGGGCTGGGGAGCCAGGAGCCGAGGGCAATGCCAGGGCTGGCAGGGCAGCACCTGGTAGCCAGGTTCGACCAGGAGTCCAGGTCATTGGATGAGCTTGTGGTGGTGAGGCAGGTCTCAGCTAAAGCTGGGAAGTTAATCTGCAGGTCAGGATCCGGTCTGGTGAGGGTAGCTAGGCTCAGACACAGCCCAGCAGGCTGGTCCATCATGATGGGATCAGTCTGAGGTCAAGCTGAGGAGTTGCTCCATGGGTCAGGTGTCCAGACCAGTGGATCCATTGCCAGGCCCAGGCATGGCTTGGAGCATGCTGGAGACCAGCGTTCCTGCCACATTGAAGCAGGCAGGGACTGTAGGCTCAAGCATGAGCTGAAAGGGAGCTCCTGGCCCCATCGGGGGAGGGCCCAGATGGAGGCTATGAAGGCCAATAAAGCCTATCAGGAACCTTGAAACCTTGATAAAGTGTGTGTTTGTTGTTGGATGCCCCAGCTAAATGACTGTCTGCTTGTATTGCTGATTTTTTTCCCCCTTTAGAGGTAGCATTTTGACAGAATAACATACAGAATAGCAAACAGAATGAATGAATTGCAAATGCTTCTGATTAACCCATGGTATGTAGTTTTCTGTTGAGTTACAGTCAGGCCATATACTGTATTTATCCTAAAGTAATCTCTACACTTATTTTGTATCTCAAAGACAAGCATCCTAACATGAAGTTACCTTGCATGTAGTAGAAGCACTTTGGCCTTTAGAGCTTTATCTAAAGAAGATAAAACTGTCTAAAAACATTACCTACACTGTTCATTTATAAATTTCATAATTTAAAAAATAAATTTCACCACTCCTTTCACTAACACAGTTGGGATTTTCAAATGTGCACTTGATACCAGAGAGGTAAATGAGGATCATTTAGTTACCCTTTATATTCTTTGATAGCAGTACTGCCTGAGAACAGGGAGAATGTCAATCACAGCAATAGATACTTCTGGTTAAATCTTTCTATTCTCTGAGGGATGGGTTAAGCAGAAGTAGAACACATAGATAACATATCTGCAATTCCAATTATTTTACAGGTCTATAGCCCTGGGTTTTTTTATGAAAGAAGCCTAAGGATTGAGTAATTAATTTCTATTTATAATGTTCATGCATTTTGACAATTATAAGTAGACAATAATGAAACATTACATGTTATGCAAAACAAAAATAAATAATAAATGATTCTTCAATAGGTACTACGTTCATGGAAAGAATATGAACTAGCAGTAATTATTGTTAACTATGGGAAAAAATTACTGGATTTCTCCCCAACAACCTCACCCTGCCTGTCAAGATCTATGAAAACTGAAGAAACACACACTAACAAAGAAGTTAAAGTAATTGCTCTGATTTTTACTTTTTCTCTAAATACTGTATTTATTATTGTGAAGATTACATTTATTAACTTTTTGTTTTACAAATGATTGTATGGACTAAGAGTTTTCTTGTAGAATAAGAGTTTCCAAAGTGCAGCTGAGAAGCTGCTATTTAATTGTTGCCATCTTTGTCAAGACCAGTTGCAGATTGCAGTGGGTACAGGGTCTCATCTTATTGAACTGGAGAGGGGTTAGCAATATTACAGTTCAGAGCCATGAGGATCCTGCAGATATTTATACAAGCATCCCTAACTGATCTTCACATGCAGTTTCCAGGATGGCTTTATTAGACAGAAAAAAATAATTAAAGAATTGTGTAAGTAAAGAAGAGAAAAAATATCCTAAATAATGTAGAAACTCAGCCTCTGATTTTGTGTAGTAGCTGCTTGAAGCATAGTCATAATAAGAGACTAACTCAGGAATTGTGTAGACTGAAAAATATTTCTCAGTGGAGGAAGAACTTTCAACCTCAAAGACCTTAATGCTTAAACTACAAAGAGATGTAGCAGGTTGTGAGGATTTCTTGCAACATGAAGTGTTGATTCTTCATACTTTTCTATCTGTTTTTTCTTCAAATAATTTTAGAAGAGATTTTACTGGAGAGGAGATTTGAAAAAGAGGCAAGAAAGTAGGAATAATGAGGGAGGAAGAAAGGAAGCAGTGTGAGCATGAAACTGAGATATATTAAAGAGAGGGACAAAAAGTCAATCAACTTACAGGGAAGGATTTCTCTGAGAAAATTTGTATGACACTGATAGGATCCAGGACAAAAATTTCTCCATTGTTTATTACTGAGTTTGTGTTAGCTGCTCCCAGGTTCATACCAAAAAAGAGAAAGGAATCCAAGATCATAGGAACAATATAATATCTTGAGCCAAGTAGGGCTGACTGAAAATTACATTTTCACCAAAGTGAAAAAAAAAATGTTTCTTTCCAGAGGAAGATTTTGATTTGTGTAGGTAGTAAATAATTTACAAAAGATTGTTTTTTTCTGGAAAACAACATATTTTGTCAACCGATCTGTTCAAATATGTTGTTGTAGTAGCATGTGGGACTTTCCTAATAATGTATTTGGTGGCAGAGCAACTCCATTCATTGCCTTGGAGATCAATCAAGAATGAATCACAGCTAGGTTTTTGAAGCTGTACACAAAAATTTATGACTAACAATTTTATTTTGCTTGAAAAGAAAAATAAGGCATTATTGATTAAATTATCAGATATAGAATTAGAAGACTTGAGATCTAACCTAAAATTCACTATTGACCTGCTGGTTTTAGTTAGATAAAAGCTAAATTTTTATAAAAAAGTATTGGATATTTCAGACCACTTCTGCAAAGACATCCCATTTAGCTGCAATGGAAAAAGCAACAGAAAATCTAAGTGCGCTTGAATCAAATCTCCTCAGACTGACAAAACCAGGTGGGTGTACTTTTAAAACACTTCTTCCATTTTCCTGTGGAATTTTCTATGTTTTATTTGTAAAAATTATTTACCTAAGAAGTACTTTTATTTCCAATGTCTTCCATGATAAGTCAACCAAAATCATAATTTTAGTGGTATTATTGATACCTGATAGTGATGTGTATAATGACTTTTATTCATCTTTTTTATGATTTACACCAAAACACTCATTCATTCTTAGAAAAGTCCTAAATCAGAAAATGCAGTGGCGAACATTTATAGCATGTCTTACTATCCTACCAGTGCTAGCAGTAACGACCACTGCAGGAAACTTTACTAGAGAAAAGGCTTCCTGAAGAAAGTTAACAGAAATTGTCCTTTTTGTGAAGGAATTGCCTGCATACTAGCAATTAACTACCTTGTAACTCTGGAATGAATATATCAACTTTAAAATACCTGAAAGTCTGGATTAAGCACAAGAATTTTCAGACTAATAGTTCTGCCAAAGTTAGATGAATTAATAAGTAGGACCCATAAAGGAAATTTGATTAGAACTTAAAACATAGAGCCACGACTGTTTTTTTTTTTTTTTCCATTATATTAACATGGCATCTTGTACTCCTTGGACCCTGGATAGAATCATAGAATAATTTAGGTTGGAAGGCGTTTCTGGAAGGCATTTATTCCAACCCCCTGCTCAAAACAGGTACAATTAGATCACGTTGCTCTGGGACTTGTGAAGTTTTGAATCGCTCTGAAGAAAGAGATTTTGCAGCATTTATGGGCAACCTGTTCCAATAGCTGGCGACCCTTAGGGTTAAAAAGGTTTTCATAATATCTATTTGGATTTTTCTGATTTCCACCTTGTGTCTGTTGCCTCTTGTGCTATCAATGAAGACAGTCTGTCTCCACATTCTGTATTACTCCTATTGGGTATGCGTAGACTCCTTTTAGCCTTCTCAGTACTGAATAAACCCAGTTCTCTCAATCTCTTCTTGCTTTGTCATGCACTCTAGCTCCTTATCATGTTGGTGACCCTTCACCAGACTTACTCTAGTATGTCAGTGCCTTATACTACAGTGTCCAAAACCAAACACAGAAATGTAGATGTGGTCTCACAAGTGCCGAATAGAGGGGAATAGTCAATTCCCTTGACGTGCTGGCTATGCTGTTCCTAATACAGCCCAGTATGCAACTGGTCTTTGCTGCAAGGGCACACTGCTGACTCATGTTCTAGTTATTGTCCATGATCTCTGTATATGCATTTGTCTTAGAAGAGAAAGCATTTCTCCTGTAATAAATAGGATAAAAAAGAGTGATGCAAAAATGCACTGATCCTTCATTTTTTGCTGCTGACATTGATGCCTGCGTTCCTGCAGAACAAGTTACAGAGTGAATGAATTCTGTAAGTTAGTTGAAAATTACATGAGTTACTTAATAAAATGGTGTTCCATTCTTACTTAGTAGAAAGTTAAATTAATGGGTTGATCAGTTAGAACACATTTTCAGTAATTGGCAAATACATGATGGCTGAAGTCTGCTCTGTTGCTGAAATAGCATATTTGTCAGTACGTTTCAGGATACAAATTGGAGTCTTCTGCTGAGGCCATGCAAAACAAATAACAAAGTTTACAGCTGTCCTTACAAATACGTAGAAGTGGATCAGGACAGTGTGCACATCTGTAGGGCATGCTGTTAAAAATGCTTTGGAAAAAAACTTGTCATAAGAAATCCTTAAAAGTGGATCAACATTTAGAGTTCCATGGATCATAGTCTACGAGAAAAATAAAAAAGAGCTGAATCTGCCTCTTTCAGAAGAAACTGAGAAAACAAAAATATTTCATACATAGTACAATTTAAATTCTGAAATTTGAAACGTTTTCTGATTTTAAATTTTTTTAGGAGGTATTATTCTCTGTGAAAATGCTCATTTGAAGTGAGCATTTTTTTGATATATTTTTGAACCTGTCAAACAGGAGAGAGTACTAATAAAGGGTGTGACTTGTCCTAAAAAGAAAATTTTAAAAATCTGCTTGTCCTGCTGACTGTCCTGTTTAATTGGACATTATTTGCATTCAACTGACTGCTTCCACTGGAGGGTGTAGCTATCGATCCACTATCACAACTGGTTATTCCAGAGTGCATTTTTAACCTTGCTTTTTTCAGACACTAGCTGCATTGATCTTTTTTGACTGCAGAACTTGCCTAAGCACAAACTTTGTAGGTCTTATTTCTTTATTAAGGCAAAATAGCAACTAGCATGTGTAACATTGTTCTGGTGCTCATCACCTGGTAACACAGCTGTGTTTGACTCTCAGAAGCTTGCATCTATGTTATTGTTCTCCTATATATTACATTTATATCTCTGTATTTTCCTATTTATATCTCTATATTGTATATATTATTTATACCTTTATCTAATATAGATATTATAATATAATATAAATACATTTGTATACATATATTTATATAAATATTTAGGTGAAGAAAAGATTCCTTTACCTGCTTATGCTATCCACATGCCTAGCATGTCTGTAAGCACTAGTCACGAGTAGCATCATGTGTTCAGTTCATGCTGTATAGCTTTAAATACATTTTTGGACATGTCCTCCTCCATGGATTATTTGTATGGACTTTTGTCAGACCTCTGATGAACTCCAGACATCCTGCTCATTAGTCTGGTAGCTGGAAGTTCATCAGTCGCATCCGTAAGCTCTTCATTATTTAAGTAGCACAGCTACTTACGTTAGAAGGAAAGAGTAAGCTTTTGAATTTCTCTCTGGATGACAGTGAGAGATTTAAGAGCAAATTCTGTGCTAAAGAAGGATTTTTCTAGTCTTCAGCTATGATTCCAGGTAGAGTTTCTACTGTACACTATCACTGCTTGTCATAATGGGTTTCATGTGGTTATTGATGTAGCTCGTGGATCAGAGCTTACAGGACAGGAAGATCCTTTGTTCCTCTACCCTGTAATTTCATGTTGGACATCAAACAATGCTTATCGAGAAGGTAGGTTAATTGGTGTTTATTTTAACTGTAAAGGCTTCTTTACTTCAGAAACTTGCCAGTAAAGCTATCTACTTGCATGGCATAAGCTCTTGGAAACTTTCTCTTAATTTTGTTCTCAAATATAAAAATTCAAGTAAAACATAGGTTAAAAAGGTTCTTACTATAGTCACATTTAGAAATGTATGAAATACTTGCAACAAATTATTTTAGATGTTGATGGTAAGCATATGAAATATTAATATTTTAAATAATTTGGATAATGTTTATTTTCTAATAACCTTAAAAATGAGCTCATTCGCTTTAAGTTCTGTTAAGTTTTCAAAGATTCTGTTTTTGTGGAATGTTCTTTTTAAATGGAGATACCCCATTTCCACATTAAATTATGTTACTGAAAAAGGAATTCACAAAAGTCTGAGTACACTTGCATTTTTGAAATAGGATTTAAGATTCTAGTATGTGGCCTTTGCCACTGTTTTATTTTTTTTAATATTGGTGTTCAAAATAACAATGGATCCTAGCCTGTGAAATTAGTATAGCTTTCAGATAAGATAAATACTTATTTATTTCTTGATGGTAAAAAGTTATGAAGACAAGCAAACAGTAAAAGCAGTTTGCAAACAATTACAAAGTTGCCTAAAATCTAGACAACAGAGCTCCACTGCTGCAGTGAGAACTGTATGATGCTTGTACGCTAATGTGACTGTCACTGAGAAGAGCAACCTTGATGAATAGGATGCAGTTGCTTTGTTTATACTTGCTTTATTGTTTTTTTGAGATTTTCAGGCATGTGTACAACTAGGCATGTTGAATATTGTTATAAAATATTTGTGCACCATGTACTGCATGATACAAAAATAGTTCCAAACCGGTTTTCTCATTCCCTAGAATGTTTGTCATTCTAGGAGTGCAAATAGAGTGAACTTGTGATTCTGGATTTTAGTCACAAGAAGAATTTAGCAACTGCTGTCGTGTATCATGACCTGTCTGATTTCAGTATCAGTATGCCTTTTCTTCATCAGCATGCAACATGACATAAATATGTGCTTTGAGACATACGTAGCTGTAGTTATAGCTGAATTCAGAAACCTGTGTTATTTGTATAACACGAAAACTGTGTTATTTGTTACTTTATTGCAGTGATGAAATTCAGAAAGAAATCACGTTTTCTTGAGTTCTTTGTACAAGTTTTGCACAAAATCCTGAATGAAGAGAAGTTTCAATGTGTTCTGGAATGGGCAGGCAATGTGCAAGTTTACTTGAAAAGGTAGATCTCTATTATAGTACTAGTGCAAAACTGCTACTTAGGTTCACCAGTGTCACAGTTACAGCAGAAACTGTAAATTGCATCTGGGTAAAAGACCCATCTGGAGTAATTTCCATGGCTTTTAGTCTGCGGACGTTCCATGAACATAGAGGATCATATAGCTACTGAAAATACTGTATTGTGACCTTGTTGTACATGGAGACCTCTCCCTTCGCTGTGTCTGTTCAAAACTCCTGTCTACAATCGGCAATTTCCAGAATTTTCCTTTTCAGACAACACTTGGCAATATGGCCATTTGCCATATTATTATGAGGCAGTGGGATAACTTAGAAAAGTATGTTGTGTTTAATCAAAAACAAATCAATCAGGGCCTACTCTTAGTGTCTAAAAAAAGTTCTATACTGAAAAGATAAGTGGAACCAAATAGTAGGCACTCACTTACAAGGATCCCAAAGAAATTTACCTATAACTCTGTTAAAAATGCACACCAATATTTCTAAAATTTAAAAGGCAAATAATCAATGAAAAGGAGATATATTATAGTAAACAGAAACTGTTGTTACAAAAAACCAAAAAAATTGGACATGAAGAAGTTCTTTGCAGAATTCTGTAGTAGAATTTGGATAATTAAGCAAGCTGGTTTGTTTTACTAGGAGTTAGGAAAGTGAGATAGTTGTTATCCGTAAATTCAGATCTCTATAGTAAACCTTGAAAGTGAGCATTTCCTATATTCTGAAGCGGAAGAAGGAAAGAAAACCTGCTGAATTTAAAAATCCCAATGAAATAGGAACTGCATGTGCTCTACCTGTTCCCAAAGATAGCCCTTTAACTATGAAAGGAGTTTAACATGCTGCTGCTGCTGCTGCTTTTAACTTTGTTTGTTGATCAGGAGGAACAACCGCTTTCTCTGTATCAATGGAAATTCAACACAAGAAGGAAGTGCTCCCACTCTGACAGAAGGCACAGATAGATACACTACAGGACTTGCGGAGTTTCAGAAAGTGAGTTTTATTTTTAAGGAGTCATGTATATCTTTACTGGGAAGCAATACCATAAGCACAAAAATATTTTTTAAAAACCTGTCTCATAAAAACCTGAGCTAGAGACATGCATAATTACTAAAACCAGGGATACAAGCTCTAGTCCTCAGCTCACCTCTGCACTCCTAAAACCAAGAAGAAAAGTCGGCATAGGATTTATCTGAAACACCAGCAGTTGTGAGGGATTTGAGTTGAGTCAGAGGAGTAATGCATTCCAAAATTAATGAAAACTTGCCTTTCATCAGCTCCCTTTGAAAAAACCAATGTGTTAATAAGAAATGCTTTGGGTACCATCACGTTAAAAAAAGGAGATTTTAGGCCTTTTTGTACAATACATTGTACTTACATCTTTTCATGAGTAGTTGTTCATGATTAACTCCTTGTGCAGATATTCTAATTGCACAATAAAGGCTTTTTGTTTAGAATTCTTTTAAAATAATTTTTTGCTTTTAGTAGAAGGTAAGAATAATCTTAATGGATTTGTATCGTTTTGGAGGAAGAGTTTGCTCCCTCATAACCTT